TTTGACTGGGGGGGCCAAAATGGTTGAGTGGGGGGGCCACCATGGGGGCTGGGGGGGCTTTGGCCCCCCCAGTTATATAGTTAAAAAATGCCCTGTTTTCAGGTAGTTCAGACACAAACTACGGCAGCTTATTGTAGAATACTCCATACACTGGACCACCACGTTTGAGATATCTTTTTCAGGTAGTTCAGACACAAACCACGACAGCTTATTGTAAAATATGGCCTACACTGGACCCCCCATGTTTGAGATACAAAAATTCCTCAAAAAAATTACTGAAGGAACTACGGACCAAAACATAACAAAGTTAGGTAAAATATGGGTCACCAGAAGCTTGAAATTCAGACGCGGCCTGATCTCGAAGAGGAGAAGACATCAAGAGATAGAAGTTGTTTTAGAAGTCAAGTCTTGAATCATGGAAGAGCATAAATTCACAGTAATCCTGACAATCATGATGGCACTTGTGGTCACAAGTCAAGCTAAAAATCTAAGTGTAAGTTTAACTTACTCAGTGTTAATATACCACAAGCGTATTTCGGGTTACGACAACCGCGTTGTGTAGAAGTCGTGGTCATTATCAGGAATTGTAACAAGTAACTGAAAAGCCTGTGAAAATCTTAGAAACTTGTACCACATAAAAATTAAACTGTGTTGAACTGGGACTCGCTATAAGTTATTGAAAAGCGATCGTATCCTAGATTTGAAAGGCAGGCGTACGTTGTTTGCTTATAGTTTGCTCCTGCGAACAGATCTAGAGCGAGGGCAACGTTTACTGTAACCCGGCTCTGCCAAGTAATACCCTATCCTCGACCTACAGTAGTCGGCTACTCGGCTTAACTCGGCGATGAGGGGCAGAGCATTAAGGCGTAAAAAAATACCTGTGGTTCCGGTTCCCGACCGACCCTATTTTTTTCTGCCGACCCTATTATTTTTTCAACACGATTGACTGTGCGACCCTATTTTCTCCAGGTGGTTGTGGGCTGCTCATACAGCGTGCCAAAATGGCGTCTGTTGTCACACTAATTATTGAACCAAATTGCCTAAATTCGTCCATAGGAAATACGCATCTCTAGTTAATACTGATGTTGGGACTCTACTGCAAATCGCCCAGCAAAAAACTGCCAAAACCATGAAAAAAATATTAAAAAAAAAATATTTCCGACCTACCGACCCTAATTTTTTCACGATATGAAACCAGAACCACATGTTTTTTTTACGCCTAATCAACGGAGATGTGGCGAGGGAGTGTTCGAAATTTAGTGTGCTTCAGAGGGAAATTTTGAATACTTTGACCCTCAAAAAGCCAGGAGATGCAATTAAAATTTGGCATTTTTTACTTTGACTTCCAAGTTTCCCTGTCAATGCTGTTATAATCCACACTTTGTGTGTGTTTGT